AAAAATGGATTTCAAATATTCAAAATAATACATATTGTAATGCATTTTCTAGACCGTCAATTTTTATAATTTTCTAGTGTTCAAAGATCTGCTCGATATACTTAATTTATGAAGTTTTACATTTTATAATTAGAAATTAAATTAAAGTTTTAAGGCATCACAAAGTTTTCTAGTACAAAAACAACATCGGCCTTATACAAATTGCACCCTTAAAAAATATTTGGCATTTGATTGTTAGAAAGACCAATACCACATTGACTACCTCCTTAAAAAGTAATATCTGACTTCTTAATTCTTAGATGCCTACTTTTTATTTGTGTTATATATTAAAAGAGAATAAACTGAAATGTCAATTTTGAAATATTTCTCATGAATTTTCTCCTCGAATTTTCTCCTGCATGATTTTTTTTTAAAAAATATATATTAAAAATTCACATTAATTGTTTTTATAACAAAAAAATATTCACTATTAAAATTATTAGAATTATGGTTCTAAGTAGGAATTTTCTGGTGACTGAGAAAATTAATTATCTTATAATGGCATAGCTTAATTGATAGCAATTTAACTATTTTATTTAATTAATAAAATGAGGAAATGGGATAGAGTAAGATTCCCATCTCATGCCTTTTCTAAATTACCTAGAAATGTGGATAGAAAAAATAGTGATTATAAAAAATAAAAATATCATGCTTCCATATATTTTCCCATTGTAATATAAATATAGGTTGGCATTAATTATTTTTAAAGTAAAAATACTGATAACTTTATATATATATAAATATAACCACAATTGAAATATTCATTATTTATAATTGACATGAATTAGTTGAAATTTAACTTAAAAATAGAATTCTCACAATTAAATATAAGATAACATTAATAGTAATAGTAGAAATAAAATAAAATAAAGTTACAAGTAATTTTGCTCAAATGTTTGAAAGCCAAGTAATTCCCAACTTTATTCTTCATAACCTAAGTTACTTGTGGTGAAAGAGATAACTTTTTGCTTTATTCTCTTATTCTTTGTTTGTTTGGGGCAGGAAAAATCAGAATTAATAAGTAGAATACAAATCAGAATTTCAATTTAAAAAGTGACTATTCTAGAACTTGATTCCAACTCTTCTAAGTATTATTTTAGATTAAATAATGAAGCACTTACTTCTTTTACTCATATTGTGAGAAAATTAGCAACCCCACGTCCCCCCACCCCACTCCCAAAAACAATAAAAAATCTTAGATGTAAAATAAAGAGAAAAAACCCATCTCAAAGGGAAAAAAGAAAGAGAAAAAAGAAAATAACCATTTTTTAGACCATCTACTAAAGTGTAAAACAAATATACATGTATGAATACTGTGTGTCCGAAAGGGGGTTGGGATCGTGGTGATAGCACCCCCATACCCTAATCACCACATTATGGTTTTCATTTCCACTGACTCCACCCCACTAACACTTTAAAACAACTAACTCCTAAATTATTTGAAAAAATAGGTAGGGGTCCGTCTTTCCCATTGAATTATGTATATATAAAAAAAAAAAATTGTATGTAAAGGTTAGTGAGGTTTTAGCAAAGCTGAAGCGGTATGCTACCACATCTCAATACACAATAAGAAAACTCGTATTATTTACTAAAACATAGGACATTGGCCTACAAAATCTTCGCTTTTGGTTTTGGAATTTTAAGCTCTAAAAATGGAGATCGCTATTTATTTAGAGATGGTGATATAATAAAAAGGTTGCAAGATGTTGACAAGGCTTGTAATATACTTTTTCATGTTGATAAAATTCCTTAGTGACTAGCCAAAAAAGAAGAAGAAAAAAAGCCACATATTAAATGAATCAAAACGCACATTAAATGTGGGTCAACTTAATGAATTTTATCTTAAATGTCTAGGATATTTGCAGCCTAAAACTGAAAGTTCCGTATTGAGGATAATTAGACTTAAATTATAAGATATTTAATAAAGATTGAGGCCCACTTATTTTATTTTTTATATATTTTTTATTTTTTTAAAAAAAGATATATATATTTTTTAAATTTTGTGGACTAATTTTTTGATCAAATAATTAATCTGATCCAAGCCAGATCAACTATCACTATTTTGAGTTTCAAGGTATGAGTGGGCAATCGAACTATATTTGATCCTGATTTTAAAACACCGGCGAACTAGGGGCATGAAAATTTTAGTTGAAGACAATGTGCTAAAACCTACGGATTTCTGATGGAGAGCGTCGATCTAGGAATCAGTAGGAATTGAACCACTTTAAGGATGCCGGGGTTCCCGATCCGATTCTCCCCAACACCACCACCACCACCACCCCCGGCCCATCTCATTTATATATTTTTTTCTCCTTTTTTTAAATTTATTTCATGTTTTTATTAGATCCCCTATAAATCTTTACCGTACACCCTTATTTTAATATTTATTTTATTTTAAATATTTTTTTAAATTATTTATTCAAACTGATTTATATCATTGATCTAACGATCCGACACAAATCTAATTTGTCCGCGAATCCCATTCCTAAAACAACAAGTGCATCTCAAGCTTTTTATAAAATAAGAGGTGCAATCATATGTCATCTTGGTGTGAACTAAAACATATGTAACTCGAGCGATTTTTCATTGTTTAACATTTAGTATTGCATAAAAAGTAGAGCAAAACCGTTATTTATTAAGAGACAAGGGCAAATTTGGCATTTTTGGGGTACCCCTTTAAATTGAGTGAATTTCATGGTGTGGCCATGGAGCCTAGTGGTGGCCTGATACTCCAAAGGGTTGTAGCCCAAAGGGGGGAGCAGTGGGACCCACAGTGGGCTTTTCTTGCTTTTTCAGATGGCAGGTCCATCTTCTCGAGAAATGCCAAAGGCATCCAGTACTCTCAAAATGACCTAACTGCCCCTCAGGCCCCTCCAAATTTGACCGTTGGGAGTCTTTGGAAAGTTTTGTTTTTTTCTGGGGAATTGGAGGGAAGTTCGACTTTTCCTTGTGCGTGTTCGGGTGGTCCGGCAGACCTCTTTACGAGACATGGTCGGGCACCCGGAAAACAGAATTAAGATGGGGTTCTTTTTCTTTTTTTTTTTTGGGGTGAGGTTTCTATAAGATGCCCACCGTATACTGTACAATTAAGCACACTTTTGAATTTTGTTGGAAGATGTAGTACCAGTATCAAAAACCGTATGATGACTTGAAAATCCGCTTCAACCTTGATTATGAAATTTCAAATTAAAAAATAGTGCACATAGAGCGGATCTATAAATACCTAAAAACCTTGAAAATAGACGATCCAAATGATTTGTTATAATATGCACTATTTTTAGAACTTAAAATTCCTTTTTTTCTTTATATTTATACATCTTGAGATCATGATGATCAATTGGAAGGCTTTTGAACTTTGGAACACTATTTTATACTAGATTTTTGAGAGGCACCTTACTTCTATGATTTAAGGTTGCAAACTTTTTCCTTTCTTTTTTTTTATGAGAAGTTCTTTAGTGGGGTTGGTCAACAACAACATCAATTCCATGGGCCAAAATAAGTTACAGCTCAAAAAATACTTGAATCATCTTCCCTCCAAATCTTCTCTCTATTGGAGGGACTACATATTTGCGGTTTTGAGAGCATTTTTATTTTTCTCACAAGATAAATCAATCAAAGATTATGTCCAAATTTTCAAATAAAAAAACCTCTCTATGTTTCTTTGGGTCTAGACCACCTAATCACGTGGTTCAACCGGACTAAATAATATTTTTCATTTTCTTATGGTCTAATTTTACTGAATTTTTTATTTCTCAAGCACCCTTCTCTCTATTTAGGTCCGTCGTACCTATTCCGTTTCACTCTTGGCAATTGATTCTTTTAATAAATTATTAAAATAAATTAAGTTTTTGTTTATATTGAAACTTGGTGCACCATAGCCAAAAACTGAAGTAGAAATCTATAACAAGTTTCATTGAATCAGAAGCTTCAATATGACGTCCTACGTTCCATTTTCATCGTTAATATGTCAAAAAAAAATCTTAGATATTGAATCTTGATTCCAAATGATAGTTGAATAGCCTTCTAAGCTTATGCAAAAAAGCAAAAAAAAAAAACATTTAAACCCCACACATACAAGGAAGAGAGAAGACTCATCCCAAGTAGTTCATCACAGCATTGGTGGTTAAGGGGACCTGTGTCTTAGCATGATATCTTAGGCTCTATTTTCAATGTTAATACCTAAAAAATACAAAAAAAAAAATAATAATAAAGAAAAAGAAAAAGAGAGAGAGATCCAAAAACTTTTGAAAGAGCATCTTAGGTCTGCTAGAACCCTACACACACATAAAGGAGGATGCATCTCTCACCTCACAAAAAATAAATCCACATATTCGATCCGACCTAGTTGGATTTGGACCTGGACTTGGACTTAGACCTGACCTGATTCGATTGTTGGCTCCATACTTTCAAATCTTGATCTATTAGCATCCATGAAAGAGAAGAGAACAAGGGCAAACCTATGAGAGAGAAAAAGAGAGGGGGGAAGTTATCACTGGCCCGATATAAAAGAGGAGAGAGGTTCAAGAGAAAGAGTGACCACAAACAAGCTCCTCAAATCCCCAAGAGAAAAACAAAAGAGACCACCAAGGGCACACCAAACATATGTCTAGCACTTTCCAGGAAAAAGCTGAGGCCTCGATGCCATAAAGAAAAAATACAAGGGTATTGCAGTAAAAAATGTATTCTCTCCCAAAACCAAAAGCAAAGTTAATAACTGTAAACACAAATGTGAGAGAAAAAGCAAAAGCATGGTGGGGTTTTCTCAAAGATTTAGGGCACGGATTCCCATGCTCTCTCCCTCTCTCTGCAACTCTCCCACCCTAACAGTAGACACACATTCTGCATTATTTTTCTCTCTCAAGCTTTTTCCAAATTCATGCAAAGAAAGCTTGAATGAGCCTTGACTAAAGCACAAGGAACTCAATAGAGACTCAGTTTTCTTTAGATTTTCAGGTATTCACTGCGAAGGTTGCTTCTTTTTGGGTTAATTTTGAGTGACTGTGATGAAAATGGTGATAATTGTTTTTGGGGCCCCATTTTTTGGTGGTTTTTTTTGGAATTTTTGGGTCTGAATATCGATTTTTTGAAGTTTTTTGCGGGTAAAAATGGCTCTCGGCATGGGTTATTGGTCTACTCTGATGGTGGTGGTGGTGATTTCTCTCTAGGGTTCCGATTGTCACGTTTTTTAGATTTTTGTAGCTTGAATTTGGATTTTTGCTCAGTGTTTTGCACTGGTTTTGAGTAGTAGTGGATTTTTTGTTTTCATGAAACTGTCATTTAATCTCTGCGCCATTCCCATGCTGTTTACTTGTAGATTTTGTTCCATTTCTGGAAATCCTGGTATTTGCAGTGAGGAAAATGGGTTTTTGCAGTATGGATTGTTGTTTTCACTGTGATGGAAATGGTGAAGATTGTATTTTAGAGTCTCCTTTTCTGGTTTTTGAGGCCGTCTCTTAATCTTGAGCTTAAAAGACTACGATAGAAGAAACTAGTGTTTTTTATAGGAGCTGGGGGAGTGCTGTGCAGGCACTGGGTTTTTGGGATAATAAACAGTTGTTTTCTTTTCCTAGTTTCTTCTTCAATATTCTATATTTATGCCTATTTTGTGAAATTTGGTTGTTCTTCAACTATATTACACTTGAGGTATTTACAGATGAAAAAAGATAAACTTGTATTATGCATTTTGTATTTTTGGTTGACTAGCTCTATTTCTTTTCTTTTTTAAATCAGTTGTTTTCTATTTGAGACTTGCTCTCGTTCTTTTGTTGTTCCCCTTTACCCTTTGTAATTTTTTTGGTGTTTCATTCTTCACAAGTGATTTCGGTACATACCAAGGGAAATGTCTTTTAGAGTGTGGATTATTTCTCCACAAAAAAAAGATTTTAGTGTATGCATTATTATTATGATGATGGCAAATTTGTCTTGTTTTGGTTTTCTGTATTTTGGATTTTGGGGTTCCTTTGGTGAGATTTCGAAGGTTTTATATTGAGAATTATGGTAAATGTCTGTGTAGACATTGTGAATTTCCTTTAGATTGTAATTTATGGCTTTATTTTCAGTTTCTTATGTGATGCGAAAGATCAAGATTGATAATCAGGTTCTGTGTTGGAGTATAGTAGTGTTCATTAGATGTATCGCCACCATAGTTTTTGATTCGGTGTTTTTTTTTTTCTTTTCGCCACTTTGTTGGCCCTCTCTTATCCTGGCCTTTGTTGTGTTTGTGAGGAGATTTGTGGGGGTTGTATGCGTGGTGCTTCTGCGGACTATTGTGATTTGTTTCAAGTCTTTGACACTCACTAGGAAATAAGAAAAGGAAAAGAAATGGAAGAGAGTTGCTTTGCCATGTTTGTTTTGCTTTCTTTTGTTCTTTCTTCCTATGGTTTTGTTGTAGGTGAGTTAAAGCCAACTGGTTTCTCATGATGCTCTGCTCATGCTAGGGTCCTATTAATGTTAGCTTCTTCTTCTTGTTCTTTCTTTTTCCTTGAATGTTAACTTAAGGCCTGGTAGGAATGGAACTTTAAATATCACGTGCTGCCACCTCGACCACCTCTGCATAGAGCCCATTCCTTTACCTTCTTTTTTTTTTTCCCCGATTTATGGCTTTTCTAAGTGAAGCATAATTGCATATGCAAAATTATTTTCCTCTTTTAATTCTATCATTTGGTAGGAGGAGAGTGTGGGTTCCAGGACTCTCCTCAAGTATCTTAGACTTCGATCAGACTGGTTTTATTTTACACATATACTTGAAATTCCATGTCTTTGTCCACGGTGATTCGGCATTTTCAGATCATTTGGCTGCTAGATATTACATGTTAATTGTTCTTCACTGCAACCTATAGAATTGCTCAATATATGTTCAGAACAGCATTGGAATATATATTTTTTCCCACTGTATTATTGTCTAGAATGATAAAATCTTGTCCCTTGATAGGGCACCGAGAGCCCATCTGATATGGCACCTTCGCTTTTTTTTTTCTTTTTCCTTTTTTGTTTTCTCCTCATAAAGGGATGGGAAATTTTCTTGGATATAAATGATGTTGTTGGTGGTTCAAATGTTGCCATCTTAATGTCTATGCTTCATTTCTATACGTATTTCTAACTCATGGATCATTATTTTCTATGGGCAGGAATTGCAACTGGGGCTTCAATGTTCCCATGGATGTTCTTTCAATGATGTGAAGATTTGTCATATGTTATTGTAGCTAGTTCTACAGGTGTTGCTGACTTCTTTCCTGTATTACAAAACTTAAAGAAGTAATTTTCTATTGGAAAAAGGAACTTTTGCTTCTTGATTATTTCTGCAACTGAGTATAGAAAATATTCTTCCATCCACTACATGTAATGATAAGCAATAGTCAGAAATGGAAAGGGTTCCAAAACCGGAAACACTATCAGGCCACTCAGACCAAGCTTCTCAATCCTGGCGTTCTGCTTCGAGAGAAGAGGACTTATGCAATAATGCTTGGAAATCTGAATTTACGGATCCAAGTGTACATGCTAAGAAAGGAAAAGGATTATACAAAGCTCCTGAAGAGTTACCAAACTCCATTAATGCAAATCAGCCATCCACGAATCCCACCATTTGTGCATGCAAATTTGCTCCATCAGAGCCAATGGAACCAGCACATAATGTAAATGATGTTGGTGCCTCTATTCCAATGGATACTGATTCATCTAGCGAATCTGTAAAAGGGTTAAGTCGATTAAGCCTAAGCACTTCCCATGTATGGGATGAGGGTTCTCCCTCCTCTTTTTCTGGGGCAAGCCATCCCCCTGAGCCAGAAGACAGTAATACAATGAATACCATCTTTGTAACCAGTAATCTGGACAAGGCTGGAGCTCTAATATGCATGGCCAAAGATAATTCAAGCAGAGTTCCTTTCCCTGAAGCCAAAGAGCCGTGTGTTTCGGGTGCGTGTGATCCTTGTGCTTCACAAACACAAGTTGGGTTTTTTCCCCAACAAGAAGCTGCACCATCATCCTACGCAATCTCTCCAGAAACATCGTTGTCAGAGATGAAAGAGGGCCAGGTTAACACCTGGTTACCTGATTCTGAAGAGAAAGAGTGCATTTGGGATGCTTCCTTGCCTCCAAGTGGTAATGTGAGCCCCCTTAGTAGCATAGACAGCACAGTGGTCACAGCCATGAGCATAGTCAATAGCAGCACGAGTGCATATAGAAGCGATGGAATTGTGAGTGATGGCATGCTCAGTAGTGAGAGAAACTGCGAAAGTGCAAAGCATAGTGTGAGAGGTGATTCTCTAGAGAGTGCAAAGAGTAGCATTAGCAGGGCAAGTGATAGTAGCGGGCTCAGTGATGAGAGCACTTGGAGTAATATAACGGGAAGTGCAAACAAACCTCACAAAGGAAATGACCCGAGATGGAAGGCTATTCTAGCTGTTCGGGCTCGAGATGGTATCTTGGGTATGAGTCATTTTAGGCTTCTTAAGAGGTTGGGATGTGGGGATATAGGTAGTGTCTACTTATCTGAGCTTAGTGGGACAAGGTGCTACTTTGCAATGAAGGTTATGGACAAGGCTTCTCTTGCTGGTAGGAAGAAGCTGATGAGGGCCCAAACTGAGAGAGAGATCCTTCAGTTATTGGACCACCCCTTTCTGCCTACACTGTACACTCACTTTGAGACGGATAGGTTCTCTTGTTTGGTTATGGAGTTCTGTCCGGGAGGGGACCTGCACACACTAAGGCAGCGGCAGCCAGGAAAGCACTTCTCAGAATATGCAGCAAGGTGCGGTTTATGATTGATTTACTCCGAGTCTTGTTTTGGTTTTCAATTTTGTTTGTGATGTTGCAGCTTTAGATTGGTTTTTATTTTTTTATCGCATGGTTTTATCTCTTCTTGGCTGTTCTTTTAGGGCAGATGTCATCTTGGTTGTTTTGAAATTTTGTGTTCATAATATAATGGCAAATATCTTTTTTTTTTTTTGGAAAATATCGTGAGAAATGGCATTTTCTTTGTGATATTTAATTAGAAATGTATATTGTCCTTTGAAGTGGAGATTTCTTTTCTCTTTTTTTTTGATGATTTTGGTCAATTTCTTAATATATGGCTAAATATTTTGTTTGAAATATGCTTTCAAGTGGTACGTCAGGTTTTTTGCCCTTTTCCCTTTCTGATAGATAACCAGGTCCATTCCGCAATGGTGTTTTTGAATTCTTCTACAAACAGACAAATATATATATATATATATATATATATATTATTTATTTATTTATTTGGAAAGATGAACGTTCCTTGTTCAAAATTGATTCCATTTTTTCCTTGGGATCTAAAAGAATAATAAATAATGATTCCCATTTTTTTCACAGGTTTTATGCTGCGGAGGTTCTCCTGGCGCTTGAGTACCTCCACATGCTCGGCGTGGTCTACCGAGACCTAAAGCCTGAAAATGTACTTGTTCGAGAAGATGGCCACATAATGCTCTCAGACTTCGACCTCTCTCTAAGGTGCGCAGTTAACCCAACCCTTGTTAAGTCTTCATCCTTTGATCCCGACCCCTCAAAGCGAGGCTCTGCCCCTGCATTCTGTGTTCAACCAGCCTGCATTGAACCCACTTCCGTTTGCATTCAACCCGCTTGCTTCCTCCCCAAAATCTTCCCCCAAAAAAAGCCCAGAAAAACACCTAGAAAACCAAGATCAGATTTTGGGCAGCCTGGGCAGTCAGCCCGTCTGCCTGAGCTCATTGCTGAGCCTACCAGCGCCCGATCAATGTCATTTGTGGGCACCCACGAATACTTAGCCCCCGAAATTATAAAGGGAGAAGGCCATGGAAGCGCTGTCGATTGGTGGACATTTGGTATCTTTCTTCACGAGCTATTGTTTGGGAAGACCCCATTCAAGGGTTCGGGCAATCGTGCGACACTCTTCAATGTGGTGGGGCAACAATTGAGGTTTCCTGATAGCCCTGCTACAGGCTATCCAGCAAGGGATTTGATAAGGGGTTTGTTGGTCAAGGAGCCACAACATAGGCTTGGGGTTAAGAGAGGGGCCACTGAGATAAAGCAACACCCTTTCTTTGAAGGGGTGAATTGGGCTTTGATTAGGTGTAGCACCCCACCTGAGGTGCCTAGGCCTTTTGAGACTGAGCTGCCCGTGAAATTTGGGGCAACGGTTGGGGCAGGTGGTTTAGGGAGTAGTAGTAAGAGGATGGGAGGGGCAGATATGAAAGCAGGGGGCAAATATCTGGACTTTGAGTTCTTTTAAGGGGCAGTTTGGGCAGCTCGGGCAGGAGGGCTGCGGTTGTTAAGTTTGGGCCGTTCAGATCGAGAGTAAGAGGTCAGAGGATGGGAGAGGAAAACATGAGATCTGAAGAATTTAGAGTCTGAGCTCTTTAAATGGCAGTTTGGGCGGTTGGATTGGAGTTTCCGGACTTTGAGATCTTATAAATGGCGGTTCAAGCATCACATTTAAGGGCAGTTGGGGTATGTGGGTTGGGAGGTGGCATAGCAAGAGCCTGGGAGGGGCAGACTTTAAACCATATATGGATCTTAAATCTCTTCTAAGGGGCTGTCGGAGGCAGTATATTTGTGATCTTAAATTTTTAGGGAGAGAAAGAGGGTTGGGAGCCATGGTAGCTTGCTATTTGTATATTGAGCTCCTTTACGGGGGCAGTTGGGCCGAGTGTTTGGTCTCTGAGTTTAGAGAGAGAGATGGGTGTTTGTGTGGGTGTTGGTAGATGTGTATTTAGAGATACATGCACGGGAGCTCGGAATGTGAGCACGCCGTATGTGTGGGCATGGGGGTATATCATTGTTCCTGGACGTAGGTTAGGTTTGGGTGGTTGATTTGTAAGCCTGATAATGATCTTACATATGCAAAGTTGGTAAAATCAGTTTCACATGGTCTCTCTCTCTAACCTTTTGCAATGGATATTTTGAGGTGCATCTTAATTCTACATTTTCAAGGTTGCAACCTTATATAAATGTTTTCCATAGACATATGTGTATCAGAACTCTGAAAATGGGTTTCATGGACTGCTCGCTCTCTATCCAGGAAATCTGAGGTTTCATGGACTGCTCTCTCTCTCCAGGAAATCTGAAATGTGGTTTCGTGGACTGCTCTCTCTCTCTCTCTCTTTCCTGGATTTTTTAAAATGGACCTCACAGACTGTTGGCAGCATGCCGCGGGATACCACCTGGTTCGCTCTCTCTACATCCAATCCATTGCACTTACATGAGGCTATTGCCAGCGTTCTGTGGGAAACCACCTGATTGAATTAACTCTCTCTCTCTGTACACCCAACACATTGCATTTGCATGAGTTGGCCTACCAATTGCAGTGAGAAGAGTAGGTTTTTGAGAAGTCATAAATGGCCTGCAAGGTGGGCCAGTTAATATGTTGGTGGATATGAGCAGTTTGGTGTCTTTTTGCATTATTTGGAAAAAGACTGGTGCACTGCCTTTTTTTTTTTTTCTTCCTTTTTTTTGGTAATTCATCGGGGATGCGGGGATGATTGGCCCCTACTTGTTTTGAATTACTCATGGTTTTTTGTCTTTTTGAAGCTGTCAATGGGAATAGACGTCACAACGTGTGCAAAGGTGGGCTATAATCAAAGACCCTTTCCTAGTGCATTGGCTTTCATTTGGCCCATCCTTGATGTGAAGGGAGTGGTCCTAAAGGCATATCTCAGGCTTTGTTGAAGGTTTGGATGGACTTTGACTGACCACCCAACCTGACCTGTTTGCATTCATCTGCTTGCCCTGCTGGTTTGTGGGGCTCCGTCATTGTACTTCAAAGTGGATCCCTCCACAGAATTGGAAAATCTCTCTCTCCTTAAAAAAAGGGATGAAGCTTCTATAGGCCTAGGCTTTATAAAAACAAAATAAAACTTTATTTTCAATCCTCATCCAAAACAATCGGAAATTTTAATGATGACTTTAAAATCAATTTTCAACACCGACAATAAAATTTGTAACTCAAAAAATAGTATGAATTTTGTGGATCGTTGAACATTTATTTTTAGGATGAATGGATGGTCTAGATGATTTACAATATACACTATTTTTAGAACTCAAAATCCTAATTTTTTTTCACATCCATAATGTTCAAGATGAGATGATTGATTTAAAGGTTTTTCAGTACTTAAATTACAATTTTTGACGAGTTATGAGGTGAAGTTTTACTTATTTAGATGGGGCTGTAACCCGATCAAACCATTTTTTTTTAAAAAAAGTGGACAATCTCTCCCCCATCTCTCTCTCTTCACACACATTGTGCAGTGTGCAAAGGCAGTTCTTTAGCATTTGGCATCTCTAACCTATGATGAAATGGAATATCTCCCTCCCTTGCTCTTGAGGCATGAGGAATAGGAAGTACACTATGATCCATATGACCATAGGTGGCAATGGTCATTAATCTTCCAATTGATGGATGGATGGTGATGGGGAGTGGATTGGAGCCCACCACAACCACATAGACAGTTAGGTCATATCTTGTTCACAAGCAGACATTGTGCAATGTGCACGTGTAGTTCTTCAGCATCACCTCTCTCTCTATTGTAGGAATTACATTTGAGATAGTGTAATTAATGTCGACCTCAATTAGTTGGAAAAAGGCGATGATGATGATAATATAATGTAACTAATGTGAACCACTAATCACTCAAGTATAAACTTGATTCCTAAGAATTTCCTTTTTCGAATAGTTCAATAGAAGGAATCGAACTTAACACATAACACAACTAACATAAGGGGTTTAAGTCGTGTTGGTAGCACTCCCCACTCTTATCACAACATTGTGGTTTTTATTTCCACCAACTCACTTTAAAAAGCTAACTCGTAATCTATTTAAAAAAAAAGATAGGGCACATGTCTTTCCGAATTATCCAAAAAAAAACAAAACTAAACGTTCTCTCTCTAACTTCCCTCCCTGGTACGATGAAAAAGAATCTCTCTTTCTCTCCTTGCTCTCAGGTTTGGAATAGCAAGTATTCCATGATCCATGTGACCACGGTGGAAACGGTTATTGAGGTCAACACCGTCAAATCAATAGATGGATGTTGATGAGGAGAGAGTGGAACCCATCTCTACCACTTGCATCCAGGCTGGTCCTCATCTCTTGATCACACCATCCGTCCTTTCATTGGACCGTGAGGCACTCATGGCCATTTTTGTTCTCTAGTCCTATGGATTGTAGTATATTTTTCCATGAAAGCATGCATGGTATATTTGAAACATGTTTTAATGACATCTTTGGAAAGAAATTGTAAAAACAAAAATTTTTAGAAAAAATTTGAAAAAGCAATTAAAGAAAAAATCATGAAGGACTTAGAACCATATAGTGTATGCTTCAAATCTCCGCCGTTGATTCTCGCCGATGGTGGTGATGATGGGGAGGGCGAGCCCACGCCGTATCAAATTTTTGACGATCTAGATTCAAAATTTAGGTTACATCCAAATGGGGGAGCTTTGTATAGGGCACCCTCCGTATACTGTAGAAATAAGATGCATCTTTGCATTTTGCCTAAAGATGTAGTTTCAATGTGAAACTTTACAATACCTTGGAAATCTAATTTCATCTCTAGCTTGAAAATCTATTTTCAATATTTAAAGGGCATGATCAAAGTGTTAAGATACTCAAAATTCAAAATTTTTCTTTTAAAATATGATCTAGTTATTCTTTGGTGATTCCAAAAATTCAAACTAAAAAAATAAAATGGTATATGGTTCACAAGAACCATTCAACGGTTCATATTGAACCATGCCACATCTAGCAGTCGAATATTAATCTCGCTTTTATTTTTTATTTTTAATTTAACATGTATTTTTACCTCAAATTTGTAATATCTATTTAATTTTAAATTATGCACCAAATAAAAACAATAAAAAATATTTTGAATGAAATAGATTGCCTAAAACACACCTAAAATTATAGGGGTAATTTGATCATTTATTTAATTAATTTTTTTTTGTTATTTTTTATTTGCTGTGATTTATAATAAAAAAACTACGACTAAAATTTTAGATAAAAATAATTTTTAAATAAAAAATAAAATACAATATTAAATTTGAACCATTAAATGTGCTGTTATTCAATCTAAACGCAGGGCACCCTTCCATCGGTCATTGAAACTTTCCCCTAAAGAAAAATCTCCCAAATAGGTGTTTTAATTGAGAAAGTACATACACAGTCTGCTCTCGCGGGAGCATAGTATACGCCCTCGCTTCTTTTAAACGAAATTAAAAATTTTTTTCTCTCGTCTCTGTTTCGCCACAGCGTTCCTTTCTACTTCCAATGGAGGTTCTTTTTACTAATATAGTTAATATTAGGGTTTCCAGTCAAGAAGCAGCGCTGCTCTAGAATATTGACATTGATCCTTCTCACTGTCTCACAGGATCAGGGCCTCCAAATCTTTAAAGGTATTTATTTTTGCATCTATTTTTTGCATTTCTTGTATATGTGTTTTTTTTAATGTTTTTTTCATGTCGTGCCTATGGTTAAAGAGTTTGTTCTTCATGATTTTGGGTTTACATGCTTTTGGGATGCTTGAGTCGTTGTTCATGAGTGTCACTGGTTTCGTTTCAAATGGCTGATTAAATTGCTTTTCTTTTCTGTTTCTTTTGTGGTCTCTCATTTTTGTTTATTTTGTGTTGTTTTTGTTTCAAGAGTTGGGCGTTTTTCCTGTCTTATTGTAGGTATCTGTTTCTCCAGTAGCACAGATTAGTTATTTTTATTCTTTATGGCATGTTTTCAAGCATTTCGTGATATGATTGATCAATGGTAAATTGAAGAGCTTATTCGTAGAACCAGAAAATCGTAGCATATTGAGAGTGTCGTGCCCCTAATAGAAATAGATATCTCTCTGATTTCACTTTGTGTTTAGTGCCATTCTCCCATGAGTAGTTCACTCAGCAATGCTCTGGTTTGTCAAATTTGTTGAACCAGACCAAGCGTTTCCTTCCTTCTAAACCCATCTCTACAACTCAAGCACCATTACAACACAGGATCAAGTCCTCTCAAAGTAATCCTTCTATTGAAAATCTTGGTACTTATTTGCCTACACCAAATTAGAGCATAAAATAACCAATTTAACAACTCGTAGAGAACACTCAAATATTATATTTTTGAGACCTTTTTCTCTCTTTTAAAATCATCTTCGAATCACTAGTCCCTATGGAATACCAAAAGCATACAACCCATATGCTAAGACCCTGTCGTCGCAGTTTATAGCTGCCTGTCACCTGTGATAGCTTCCAACAAGCTCTCATTGTCTTCAACCACCACTCCAAAAGGTGTCATCTTGATTATAATTCAATCCTGAAGGGGCTCATAAACCTATGCCATTTTGTGGAGATCTTGACCTCTATAGTTTCTTACTTGATGAAGACCTGGTGCCTGTTAATTTCACCTTTCGGCTGTATTAAAAACATGTATTTGGGTCGGCTACATTTTGCAGCCGACGGCCAACCCCAATTAGTTGGGAACAAGGTTTGATGATGATGGCTGTATTAAAGGCATGTGCTAGATTATCTTGTGAATTAGTCATCTTTTAAGTGGAGCTTTGAGAAATATGAGCCCAGCATGTTTGTGGACTGTGCTCCCATATACATTATGAGAAATATGGAAACTTAGAAGAGGCCCAAAAAGTATATGAAACAATGCCTAACAGGTATATGAACCACCTACAAGACTGAATTCTCTTTTCTTTGCAAATTCAAGTTATTTTGCAGCTGCGATGTCTTTGCTTCTGATTGATACTTGTTTGACATGTTTGAAACTTTGGTTAGATATTCAAAAAGAATAATGTATAGGCTTTTTTAAATAACTTGTGGTTTTCTTCTTTTTTTTTTGGCAATCATCTCACGTTATTCTCCTAGCTCTCTATCTTGTGTAAAATTCATCTCTTTTTCACAAAATTTGTTTGGTGAACTCATGTAAAAAAGAAAAAAAGGAAAGCCGTAGAAGTAAAATTTCTAAATGAGAAAAGAATCAAGAAAGAAATCTGTTAGGTCAATGTTTTTTTTTTAAAGCAGCCAAACACATCTAGCGAATAAACTCTGTTTCTAATGCTTTCACAGACATCCAAACTGTCTACTAACACAATAAAATTAAATGACAAGTTTTTTCAGTTCAGAATGAAAGAACTTACACCCTTTTGAATATGAAGGTTTTTTTATGTGAGATCCAAACTCACCCTAAACATGTACCTTTATATGCTTTATCCCTCAGATCGTGATTCACAATCATGAGGGGGTGAAATGGTCAATTTTGGGAATCGAGGGGCATGTCCAAAATATTGAAAGTTTCATTTGAATTTGAAAGTAAACCTGAAGTCTCCACAAAACCCTTATGACTGTATTTTACCCTCTTGGTTTATCTCTCTACAGAGAGGAGCTCATATCTATTCTCTCTCTCTCTCTCTCTCACTCTCTAGATACTGATGTCCAAATTGGTTTTGTTTTTTGCATGATTTTTTTCTTATAGATTGATCTGTGCACATTTGTGTTCTCTCTTCATTGAATTTCAATTTGGTTTAGTTGTTTGCGTGATTTTGTTCATTAGTAGATTGATTTCTGTGGATATTTGTCCTCTCTTTCTCTCTCTATTGATTTTCAACTTGGATTAGTTGTCTGCTTGACCTTTCCCATTTGATTTGTACCTTTGTTGATTTTGAATTTGGTTTATTTGATTATGTGATTTTTCATTAATTGATTGATTTGGGTTAAATTTTGTTTCTTTCTCTTTTTTATTTTTCTTCTATAGAAACATATCAATTTTAATGCTATTGTTATTATTGTTATGATGAATATGGTCTGTTGGCACGAAAATGTATAAAATCCTTTTTAGGGTTTTTTAATCATTTCTCTGGCATATTGGTTCACGGATAAGTTTGGGCTCACTTTGAAATGTCATGCTGGTTTGATCATTTTTCTCACACTGTGGTTTGGGTTTTCTTGCTCAGATCAAAAAAAATATATGAATTTATTATATTGTTTCAAGGAACTAGAAGTATTCCTCCATATTGATTATGTATTACAACGATTTGAGTTTGGTTAAATGCTAGAGAATTAGCTCAGCTTATATGTTTGTCCTAATGCCTGTGTTTGTATAATAATACCCTTATTCTTTGATTCTTTTTTGTGTATCAAACTTGGAGATTATCAATTAATGGAGTTATCTTATCCCAGATCTGGATTTTCCATGGACTAATTCATTACATATGCAATATCTATGTCCTCCTACCATTTTAGAATTATCAGGATTTGGTATCTTGTATTTTATCCATTTCATTTAGCCAATACCTAAAATTAGAAGAACACAAAATCCAAATCTATGCCTTGGAACTCTTGTTGGTTAATGTTTAGTGAAAATTTGGCTAATAGGATGATTAACAGGTTTGTCACCTATGACCCAAACCCACCTCTTGTGAAGTGCCAACTGGGTTAATATTGAAGCCTCGTGTATTAGTGTTCTATATGCAATATATCTTATCTTTGTCTGCATTTTTGTTCTCCATGGGCTTAATCAGGTGCTTTTCATAATCTCCATGTGTTGGTTGAGGTCCTTTTTAAGATAACAGAAAAAAAGAAGAAGAAGAATATTTAGGTTCTTGCCATCTCGATTATGGACCTTCCTTCCCAACTAGATTATGGACCTTACTTCCAAAGTTTGCTTATTTGGTGATTAAATGGCTCGATTTTATTTTCATTTTATTATGGGCGGTGGGGCTACAATCTTTTCCTTATCTGCTTGTTCGCTTAAAGTGTCAAGAATGAGGAAGCTTTGGTGATTTTAGTTGTTACTTTAATGGGTGATGAATTTTCTTGGTATCTGACTATGTTATATTGTGGCATAAGGGACAAGGGTTTCATGGGGAAACTATTAGATATGGGGACCATGGTTCATTTGGGGGCTTTACATTAATAAATGTCAATTATCTGAGGATGGTTTTAGAGCGTCTTGCCTTACCACCAACTCACAAATTCCTTGAGTTGTCATATAGGACTTCAGTTTGGTAGATCTTCCATTTAAAAGGGTCTTGAGACATGGAAAAGTAAAGTGAGATATATCATGTTTAGACAGTATCGATTTTTCTCTCCTATAAGTTGGGTCCTGTTCCTTTCATGGGGTCCCACAATCAAGGATGTTCTCAAGTCATGGTTCCACACACCCTTATCTTAAAATGGGCGCTTTTCACCTTAATCCTTCTGTTGGTTTCTTCTAGGTTTAAGGAGAGAAATGGGAATTGGTCAATTTGGAGCTCTTGTGATATGAAATGTTTGGCATGCTGTTGTTCTTCAGAGGAAATAAAATTTCTTATACTTCCTTTCTATAAAGTGATTAAAACTGTAGAACTTAAAAAGAATTGATATGTGAAACTTATCCAGTTTATCTGAAGCTTGCTCTAGTTAAATAGGCTTGAGGTCAAAAGTCATCTTGACTTTAGATCTAGGGTTGCCTGGTCCTGACTTGGACTGGACTCCAGTGCTTCTCAAAACTCGGTGACCTGGCTCCACTAAACCTATGAGTCAGTTTTAAACCAGAAATGCACAAGGCTAAAATATTGGAAATCATACAAGTGAAGTTTTATCCCCAAGTGGATGGTCAAATTCATCTATGGTAAAAGTTTCCTCTAGAAAATCTTTATCTCTGGATCTCAGAGGCTCTTCTTCTGTTTGCCAATACATAAAGTAAGCCCTAAGTACTCCTAGGTACCTCTTCTACCTTACAATCCAATCTATCAGCCAGATGACTGGGTATCTACTATGTGTAGTTCTTCTACTGTGTATTGTTACACGGTACAATCAATTAGCTACCTTAGAAACCATTACAACTTAAAGGAAAGATACTCTTACACTAATGAATTTGCAGATCAGATGCTTCTTTATAGCATTCCTAACCCTGTACTTGTTATTGTAATCTTCTTAAGGTTGCCAACCCTTAGAAGACCATATCATGTATATATGATTGCAGTATAGTGGGCATAAGGGTCTAATTCAAGCAATGGGTGTAATAACCAGAAAGGGCACGGGGTTGTGGAATTTAATGCGACCTTGGCATTTTTTAGTGCCAGCTCCCCCATGTAATTTTTGTTATTGTCTTTCTGAATAAAAGTTGTTTCTGGATCCCTCTTGGGACTGGTGGAATCACCTTTCTTGGAAAACCGGTATCAAGGAGTGGAGTTCCTTTTAAGAATGACTGCTTGTCAGTTAGTTAATCATCTCTACGATAAGGGCTCCCAGTTCTCCAACTTTTGTATCCTTTGAAGGGAGAAATAATAGTACAACACCTTCTATTCATTGCATTTCTCCCCGTTCGAGTTTGAATTCAGTATCTTCTTGTTCTTCTTTTGTTTCTTTCTGGTGTGAAGTAGGCTTCCCATGCTATATACTTCGGGTGTATGAGGGACCGCTCCTATGCGGTTTGTATTTGTAAAGGGCACAAATTTGATCTCAGATTAAAAGGACTAAGTAGGACATATGCTCTGGAGAAAGTCTAAAGAATGGATCCCTCCCCTGGATGGGGAGTACACTAGTAAAATGTTGATGGCAGTGCAAAGCAGAATCTGGGTCCAGCACTTCAAAGCTAAGATGTGGAACCTTGTTGAGAACTCCCTTTCTATATTGCTATTTTCTTATGGAAAAAGTTTATAT